GGACAGACAGACAGACAGACAGACAGACAGACAGACAGACAGACAGACAGACAGACAGACAGACCGACAGACAGACAGGAAGACATTTAGTCAGACAGGTACACAGAAAGACAGACAGACAGCACGCATGCATCCGGAGAGACATGATACAAGATTGCGTGGCACAGCTTTGCTGTTGATCCCGAGCGCTGCGCGCGGATGAGACGCGCAGTTCCGCGGGATATGCGCACGCGACCGCGGGGATTTTCAAGTATATGAAGCGCTGTCCGCAGTGGAGACGTGCGCCAAATTCGAGGCCCGGCGCACGTCTCCACAGCGGTCAGCGGATGGTCTGTAGTTTTAAAAGATAACAATGAAGACTTTGTTTTAAAAAGAACTATCGGCGGCTAAATAAGAGCAATATACAGACCTTTGAATTTCTTGACTAGTCAGTCAAAGGGCTTGTTGGGGGTCTATTATGCAGAACTTCCAATTCAAATGGCCCATGAAATTGTCAAGTGGAATTGTGTTTTTCGGAACCCCAAAGAAAATGTCTCCCTCTTACATGCACCCCCTCCCCGATCAATCACGCATTCAGGCGTAAACAATAACAGATATGAAATTGTGTTGAGTTTATGACTCTTGGCGCACGTGCATTGACGTACAAGACTGATGAAAGGGCTGAAGGATAGAGAGCATGGTTGTAAGAGCAAAGCCGATGTGTTACGCTACATAGTTCTTAATCTCGCCATGATCTCTATCATTGTACCACAGTCGGCTTGGAACGTCTCAATAAAAATAAATATTCACACAATTTTTCACAATGATCGACCGCCTGTCTGCAAAATAGGTGAACGTATGTGAAACATATACGGTTAGTACTTACTGTGACATATCGATCCGTGACTAACTGACACCACTAAATTGGTAAAATGTTGCATACACCTTAAGGAAATGTGAGAAATTACGAGGTTATCACCGCAGAACTCCCGAACACCGTACGTCACAAAGCTATAATATATTATGTAAACAAACACGCGGGTTGCGATGTGCCTGCCTCCGATATCCATTTCGAGGCCCGCTAAGCCAAGGGTGTTGCTATCCCCCGGGCGTGGAGGGAGGTCACGTGATAACGTTGACGATGACGTTCAAAACGTTAATCCTTACGGTACCTCTAACCACAAGAGATCCAACACTAAACCTACCACTAATTATATATATATCGCAGCGGTATATATGGGCAATGTGATCCACAAAAATTAATCTATGGTGTGGGGACAGATATCACGATGCAAAAACCCTAACCCTAACCCTAATCCTAACCCTAACCCTAACCCTAACCCTATCCCTAACCCTAACCCTAACCCTAACCCTAATCCTAATCCTAACCCTAACCCTAACCCTAACCCTAACCCTAACCCTAACCCTAACCCTAATCCTAACCCTAACCCTAACCCTGACCCTAACCCTAATCCTAACACTATCCTAACACTAGTGCTGCCACGTTGCGGTCACCTCCCTCCACGCCCGGGGGATAGCATTACCCCTAAGCCAAGTGCGCGGGCAAGACGTCACAAACACAGCTACGCGTTCATTGGCTAAAATGATCGAGTAGCGCGGTTAGGAATTTTCGGAATTATTTAATTTTAAGAAAAACTTCAATGTTCAATGAATGACGCACCCGTTCACTTCCGAAAGCGGGTAAAAATGCCTAATTTTTCCACTTCGGTGCGAAATGCATCGGCCGGGTCTTTCATTATTTACAAAAAGCAAACAGTCTCGCCAAACACCTACACGCAGTAACGGGCCAAGTCGTTGCATGACGCCCCATTCATGCCCATCAACGAAGAAGGCGGGGCTTATTCTATTTACGGAGATGCCAAAATTCAACAGAAAGACGTAGCGCAGCTAGTGCGCTTAACGGCGTGCTATTTTCGTTTTTGTGCCAAACTCTATCGTAGGAAACCGTTCTAGCCTAGCAGAATGCCCTAGTTCCTGAGATCGGCGATTTGGTACTGTGATGGGTCCCCACCTTATATTATATTATAGAGAGGTTCGGCGTAGGCTGTGATTGGAAGACACAAAATGTTAATCCTTGTCGAGCCTCGGCATCATGGCCGCATCACGTCTAGTTTCTTCTACCATTCTCGCACGCATTCCTATTGAATATAAATCTAGGTCCCTTTGCAATAGTGCTCTTGGAAAGCGAACTTGCGTCGGCTTAGTTACCAGCTAAAGTGACCTAAACTAGAAGTCATGCACCGATGCATATTATATTCATCGGCCATCATTTGACGTACTTAGGATGTAGAGCGCATTGACTAATGTATTCGTGCATTTTCACACGTATGACTAGTCTTCCTAATTATTGCTAAAATGCAACTAATTAGTGTTTAACGCCACTTCATATAGAAATAAATGGTTGGCAGTATGACATTGCAGACGAAAAATTCCATTGCGTAAATACATAATGTGTAAAAAGCAAGAAATAAATAATAGAACGATGCATTAATTTATTAGAATACATCAGTGGCATTAATGTCAACATTAATTAGAAATGTAAGCGCATTAATATGTAGGTATATCACTGGTTCTTTTATTTTCGCCTGTTTTTATTATATATTACTCTCAGCGCAAATAGTGAATTTAAGCAACTACAAGTTGAATGTAATAAATAATTACTACAGTGCATAAAATGGCTCAGTCCTGTTGGCGCTGTCATATGTGAAACTATCGCGCAATGTCAGTAACCTGTTGTTTAAGCGTGCTGATTATCGATTACACGCAATTAAAAATATTCGTTCGCCTAGCTGGTTCTTCGCCAGTACGTCTAGAAACAGCGCGGAAGTGATTCTAACAAGAGGAAAGAAATACGGCCACATTCTTCTACGGGAGAGCACGACATTCTCAGGCAACTATGTCATATCAGCGCGATACGACTACGGCAAGTAAGTGTTTAGGCCTACACCCGAGCCACAGAGTTAGTTAGATAGATACAGAGTCTCGAATAGAACATCCTTGTAGACCATGCACAAATATATATATATATATACAGGCCCGTAGCCGAGGGGGGGTTGGGGGGTTCGAACCGAA